CACCTCTTCTTTACAGTGTTACTTATAAAATCAGAGCAATGACAAAGAAAAGCAGACAAGGAAAGGAAACTAATAGCTTTCAAGCATCTCACACAGGACTGTTACATTTTCTTTAGATTATATAAATTACTTCTCTCAGAGATCAGAAGGACATGGGAAGACACTTCTAATAAACAGAAGAAATGCACTCACTTCCAGCAATTGTAATTAATACCAGCAAGTCTCACACATTAGTTGGCAAAGAGAGAATGATAAAGCTTACCATGCAGCTTAACAGACCAAACAAAAACAATTTTTAAAAGAACAGCTTTCTTGAAGAAGTCTAATTAGTAAACAAAAATATTTAGGTGATTCTGATTAATAATTATTATGACGAATAATGGCTGATTAATACAACTCACTAAAAAATAAAGAAATGCAATAATTACTGTAAGTATTTTCAGTATAAAATTCATGCAAATAATGGATTAGAAACTTTGCTGTTTATGAAAGTAACATCACACAAGGAAAGTTTACAGCAATTTGGGTTTATGTTCTGCCTCTATCTTTTGCAAAGATGAAAATGAGGGTAGCTTGCAGTGTTCTTAATAAGTTTGGGACTATTTCTGTAAGTAGATAAGCTAACACAGATCTCTGCATCTTTACAGTAGTTCAAATATTTACCAGAATGTTCACTTTTAAGAATAAGACCTTATCTGTCTCCAGTCCAAAACTAGTTACAAATTTCTCAGAACTGCATTGTAAAAAGGCAGAACTGATAGTTCAAAATTTGACATAACTTTAAAACAGATGAATAAAAAGATAAGCCTGTTAGCTTATTCTTTTAAGATTTCTATTTAAAAAAAAACACACGACATGGCAGTGAACTAAAAATTAGACAATATTTTCATTGATAGAAGCTTGTAAAGAGTAGCCACTGTGCACAGCAAGATCAAGACAAAATGAAGTATTATTAGATATAATAGTCTAGTGCACTTTAATCAAATTTGTTATACTGGGTGCTGCTAAACATGGTGAAATCCCACTGAAAAAACACAAGTCAAAACCTAGTTGCTCTACTGTATTTAAAAGGGTGAGCATTTCTTTGAAGGAGAAAATATAGTAATTTAATGGGCCTGTTGATGTCAGACACACATTATCAGATGCAAGCAATTGCTGCATGACAATGGTTAGAGACCTGTTTGCTGGAGATGTGAGCTGGCCAGGCCTGCACGGTAATCCAGGTACTGAAATTACCTGATATCAAAAAATCATCATCTGTCAAATGAGGGGTTTCTACACTCAACCTTAGAACTGTACCATCACCATTTCCTATATAAATGGTTGCAGTTATAGCAAAAAATACACATTTGGAGTTATTGTAGCCTTAGCGTTCTGCAGATAAGTACACCATCATGTTTCTCTGGGAAGATTAGGCCTAAATTGCTGTATTTTAGGCTGGAGTATTTAGGATTTTACTCCCTAACAGTATCAAAGCTTTTTAAAAAGAAGATTCTAGGAAGCTTTGGGAGTTTACATTCTTCCCACATCACTATACCCAATTTTCAAAACAAGATCTTATGGTTTTCTAAACGTGCTGTTACCTAGAAGACACATTAGGTAATTTAAGGAGCCCTGTTTCTTGGCACAGAAAGAAAAGGTACACTGGTGCCTTTTCTCCATGTTTGCTCTTTACATTTCTCCTTGCTCTGTCCACAGATATTTCCCCTGTCCCTCCAAAAGATGTGCTGAGAGGTTTATCTCTTGCTTTTTATGAGAAGTTGTAAATACACTACCGCTCTCACATTCTGACTCGACTTAGAAAGCGATTTGTTATTGTTGTTGTTGTTGCTTTTTTGTTGTTGTTGTTATTGTTGCTTTCAGGCAAACTAAACTCAAGGTCGTCTTTTAGCCGGGGAGACTCAAATCTGAATACAGAACTGTTCCGGCCGCGCTCCAGCAGGCTCCTTAAAACAGGCAGGTCCCTGTGCCAAAACAAAGCACGGCTCGGCGCCTTGGGTTACAAAAAGGAGGGACTGAGCAAACCTGACTGATTTAAACCCAGCTATTTTGACTCTCCAGATAAACCTGCTGGCACTCCCGTGTCAAGAAGAGGTGGGACGTTTTGCCCATTATTTTACCCATTGGCCAGCAAGCACGACATCAGGGAAAGATTTCTACATGTATATATATATATGTATGTGTATATATATATATACACACACACATATATATACACATCCCAATACAGGGAGAAACGCGTTACTTTTTTCCCACCCCACAACGTGTCGAACGGACAGAAACGTGTTTATCGTTGTTTTCCGTTCACTCTGCCAAGCCGAACACGGCAGCGCAGGGCAGGCAATGGGTGCTCGGCACTGCCAGATCATTCATCCCGCCGGGCGAGCCGCGCAGTTTTCGAGAGCAGCGCCCGCGGTGTGACACGGCACAGACCCGGCTGGGACACCCGGCCCCCCGCGCGGGGCTGAGGCTGCCGGGGGTCCCCGAGAACCGCTGCGGCGGGACAGGACAGCGGGACGGCGGGACACCCCCGGGGCCGGCGGGACGGGACGGGACGGGACGGGACGGGACACCCCCCTCCGCCGCCCCGCGCGCCCGGCACCCCGCCCTCACCCGCGATCCTCACGCAGATCTCCGGCCCGCCCGGGAGCAGCTGCCGACGCTGCCCCTCAGCCGCCGCCGCCCGCGGTGCCGCGCCCCGGGTCCTTTTGAGCGCGGGCGGCGCCGGGGCTGCGCGGCGCCGCGCCTCGGCCCAGCTCTTCCGCTTCATGGCGGCGGCGGCCGCGCCGCGGCGGGGCCCCTCATGCCGCGGGGAGCGAGGCAGCGCAGGGACCCCGAGCGGCTGACGCGGCCCGCGGGCACCGCCCGCTCCCGCCCGGCTCGGCCCCGCCCGGCCCGCTCCGTGCCCGCCCGGCTCGGCTCGGCCCCGCCCGGCCCGCTCCGTGCCCGCCCGGCTCGGCTCGGCCCCGCCCGGCCCGCTCCGTGCCCGCCCGGCTCGGCTCGGCCCCGCCCGGCCCGCTCCGTGCCCGCCCGGCTCGGCTCGGCCCCGCCCGCCTCAGCCCCGCCGGCCGCCCCCCGTTGTGTCCGCGCGGCGCTGGCGGCGGGGCCGCGGTAACAGGTGGGCCGGGGGGCCCGGGCCGACCCCCGAGCGCCACCTCGGCCCCTCCGGGCGCTGCTGTGCGGGGTCACGGCGGGACCGGCACAGCGGGGACCCCCCTGCGCTGCGGGTCCGCTCCCGCCGGTGCGGCCATAGCGCGGCCCGCTGCCTGTCCTGGGGCTTCGCAGCCTTCCAGGTGCCCCGAGCACCGAAAGAGAGTCCCCAAGGACATGATGCTGTAAAGCCAGTCTGGGACATGCAGCCTTCTGGGCTGAAGTGGAAGATTAAAATAGCTGGGTTTAAATCTGCTTCTTAAGACACAGTGATACTTGAAAACACACAGTTATTTGAAATAGGTGTTGCAATAGATCAAGCTAGTAGTTAAAAGAACTTCTGAAAACTGCTCCCTTCCCTCCTCCCTCTAATTGGCCTTGGTGGAAGAAAGCCCTTGCTGAAGTGTTCCGCTGAGTGTGTGATCAGTGTTTATCACCTATTGGCTTCCACCTTCCAGTGCCTTACGTTTCTTAAAATATTCTTGCTAAATAACACCAGAGACCTAAAATTCTGCTGATACATCGAAAAACAATTCATGTCACCATCATTGTTCCAATTCATTATGCACATGGGAGTCATTGTCTTGCAGTGAACTTAGTGAAGCTGTGGCCAGACAGATGCAAAATGCAGGGCCTGTATATACCATGATTCTCTTCTACCGAATCCTCCTCTCTGTCTTCTTGCCTCTTCTCATTTGTCTGCACTTTGTGAGTCTTTCTGAAGAAGTGATTTTGCTGGGATAATACAGAGGCTGTGATGTGGTTCCTGTCACAGTTGAAATGGTGAGGGTGGATGACTTCAACTTACAGAGCTGTCAAACTACAACTTCATTCCATGCCCTTTTAATAGTCCACCATTCTTTTAGCTATAGCTAGTATTGTTAAATGTATTTATTAGCAGCAATAGAACTATCACCATTGTATGTTAATTTTACTAAAAACAAGCAGGAAAACAGCTAGCCAAAAACTTCCTTTAAAATCAAAAGCACCCAAGAGAGTGAAATGATTGCAAAACCAAAGTGGAACTAGAGTCAGTGTCCCTGGCTGTGATTATCAAGTGAATGAAGCAGAGTGGAAGCACTACAAAGAAACTGAATATTCATCAATCTTTCTCTTCAGAACCACATTGTATCAAAATGTGGATGTAATTAATAACTTGCTAAGGCATAGTACCTTTAATAGAATTACATTGCTCAGTATGTTTCTTAAGCAAGCTTTTTCTTATTCATCAAGGAACTCTGCATTTAATTTCACGTGCTTTCTTTCCAGAGCCTGCTCTGGGCCTCCCAGTGACCTTAATGGATGTAGGAACAAACCTCTTCACAAAATGCCATTTTAAAATTGCATTAAAGCTTAAAAGGGGAGAGAATTTTCAGTTAAGTTTATATAGCAGCATTTTACAGAAGGCCAAAGATCAGAAACTGCAGAGGAGGATATGCTCCTCCATAAATCTCAGACGGTTTTTTGTCTTCAAATTGCTAAAAAGAAGTGGCTGGTGGATGAAAGAGGGCACATCTACTTTAATGAAAGCAATAGACTTTGAACATAAACATTTCTAGAAAAATGGATAATATGAAATCTGACAGAACTGCAACCCAAACTGCTGTTGTCCTTAGTTCAGTTGTCTAAGACACAAATAAATAAGGAGAATTTATTCTGAGACCTCTCACTCTGAGAGAAAGTACATACATCCAGAGGAAGAACATTCTGCTGTAAATATTCCTAGGAAAACACGTAGTTGACTATAGCTTACTCCAAAACCTGATCAGATGTATGTTTAAGACACACTTCTTCCTGGTCTTACAGACCCACATTTTTGTATGACACAAAGAAGAATTGCAGACAATGGATGATGTATTTAAAATATTTATTTAAAATTATGAAATGTATTTCATAGTGTCTGCCAGTGTCAGATGCAAAAGTAGGTATAAGCTTAAGTCCCAGTATTCAACACTGTGACTTTTCAGGGTATATTTTAATACAAGATTGTCATACGGTGCTTGAAGCTTTAAAACAGTGCTGAGAAGTATTGGATTGAAAGACAGTGTTGATCTGCTGAAGGCATGTTCTTCCTGACCAAAATCAGATTTTTGAGTTTACCGCATCTGGAACAATGATTTTTAAAATATATTAGCAAGATTGTTTCATGAGACAATAATAATCTCCAGGATTTTTTGCAATCAGCCTCAGTTGTGTTTTAGTTTTTATTATCTTGTACTCAATGGGAATAACACTTTTGTGTCCATCTTCAGTGCCAGGTAGTTTATTCTGTGCTCTGATTTTCTAGATAAGGTTTCAGATGTCCTACAAAGACATAACATTACCAATGCTTGTTGGAATTCACTGGAGAATTGTTCCTGTAGAGCATAAGTTTAAAAAAAAGTATATATTATGTCAGTGTCATATGTCAATGATCTGGGGTTTGTTTGAGAAATTCACTGTTTTAACTCCTGCCAGCTGCAAAATTGTATTAATGGGAACATGATCCAGCCTGTTTTTATCGAGGTGCAAAAAATGAACTTCATTGCCTGGAAAGGAATGAGAATAACATGTGAATTACTAAACAAAATATTTATTTATTCAAATATGTAAGCAAATCAAAGCAACATTCTGACCTCCTACTAGTTCTTGTACAAATGTGTACTAGATCTGTAGATTGCACAATATACTGTATTTTAAACAATGAAAAAAATTTTTTTTAATTATGTTAAAGAAGCAATGAACATTGAGACACCTAACTAGTTTAAATCTGCTGTAGCATGATGTTTCCTAATCACAGAATCATAGAATCACTGAATCAGCTGGATTGGAAGGGACCTCCGAGATCATCAAGTCCAACCCTTGATCCAACCCCGCTGTGGTTCCCAGCCCATGGCACTGATGCCACATCCAGTCTCATCTTAAAAACCTCCAGGGACGGAGAATCCACCACTTCCCTGGGCAGCCCATTCCAATGGCTAATTACCCTCTCTGGAAAGGAATTCTTCCCAATGTGATGACTGTCATGTTGCAGCTCCCCCTTCATGCACTACTCCTCTACTAAACAACATCAGATGCCTCGAATCAAATGTGAAAACAGACTGTAGGTAAACACCATGATGTCAAAAAAACCCTCCAAATTTTGAGGCAGTTGTTCCATCAGCACTCCAATCAATTTTTGCAGGACTGTGATGAGCTTTGTGCCACCTCTGTGGGAGCTGGGACTAGGCAATGACACTTTGCAGATTCCTTCATGCCACAAAAATCACACAGTTGCACACAAGGCTGTCTCCTCTGAATCCACAGGGACAGCAGGCGAGCTGGCAGCAGACAGATGAAGGAGAGAGCTGCAACTCTCACACAAAACACAGCAGCTCACCTGGGCCTATGATCAAAGCTCCTCCCTGCTGAGCAGGGTCTCCTTGGAAATCAAAAGCCGGGCCAGTCATTGCTCTCCATATACTCCTGATGCTTCCCAGAAGTGTGTTTGATTTCACATGAGGGCTCCGCACTAAACAAAACCACCAAATATTATTATCTATAAACACAAAAGTATGTAAGGAACAAGAGCACTGAACAGCTGCTACGAATAGTTTAGAGATTCCTGATTACCAGTATTTTCACAAGAGACAATCTAATGGGCAACTCACTTTCTATTTACATTGCAATCATACTATTTTATCAGAGCATTCATGTTTTGTTTGTGTAAGTCCAAATAAGGTGAGAAAATTATTCTTACCTGATATGTTATTACCTTCACCTCTTTTCATGCCAAGCGTTTTATAAATTTCCCTTTGTGGATCTACATACATTTCATGTGTATACCCAGTTAAACTGCAAAAGGGCTGCAAAATATATGGATACACACACACACAAAATATTTTTAAGGTTAAGGCAGTAACTGGTTAGGGTCTGCTGACAACAGAAAAAGTACGGATACCATGCCAACTCCACCCTTCCCCCTCTTATTTGGAAGCTGTGTATTTGTCATGTTAAATTAAAGGCCAAAAATTTTCAGCCTTTATTAAAACAGCTTTTATTAAAAAAAAATCCAGTGAAATCAAGAAAAGATGTTTCTTAGAAAGAAAAAGATGTTTCTTAAAAACCTGGTGGTTTTTAAATTGAAAGTTTTAGTTATTTGCTTTACTCATGTAAATTAGAATTGCCTCATGAATACCATCCTTTTTTTCTGTAGTTGCAAAAGACCATCTTTTCAAACAGAGCAAATCCCTCAATACAGACCATTAAGACACAAGAGAGGTTATCTTCAATGACTATTTTATTTACCTTGATGTGGTGATAAGATGACTGCCCAATAACTATAAGCCTCACATTTGCTTCCTAGAACAGAACAAGGGTATTGAAGTTGTAAAGAGGAGCTCAAGTGTTTCTGCATGACTTCGAAGCATTAGCAGAATCTGGCGTCCTGAGTTAATAATCACAGTGCACTGAGTTAAAATTATTGGAAATTAAAATCACTTACATGTTTGGAGACTTCACCCTGGCTATCACCCACAGTCAGAAGCAACATTAATTTATTAAGTGATAAATTATTTCTAAAGAGAACCTTTAAATTATAGATGTGTAAACTTTGAGTTTCCTGTAGCATTGGTAGCATTGTATTTCTGATTGATTGCAATTGATTGCAACATGCTATAATTTTGGAAATTCAAAATTTCCACGCAGTTGCACCTACCTCTAAAGAAGCAGCATGGAAATATTGGTGCCCAAATATCTGTGATTTACATATAGAGACACACATTAATAGATATAACTTGCATTCACACATACTGCTGTCTCTTGCAGGTGCAACATTAGGCCTGAGCCTAAAATAGAGGCCAAAACTTGAGTTCATTTAGATGCCAGTAAAAACAGTTAATAAAATATAAGGTAGTTTCATTAGCGTGTAATACTTGCCTTTCCCATATAGAATCATTTTGGTTGTTATGAAAAGAAGCCCTCCTAAAAACAAAACACTCACACTAAGAAAAGCATGGACAGATTTTGATTCTCTATCTATATTTATTTGAGGAGTCAAATTAAGAAAATGTCACTTCAAGTAACACTGGTCGAACAGTTCAGAAATATCTGTCCTGAGAAGAGAAGCTGCCAAAGACATTTCCCCTTTTTATCCTCAAGTTCTTAGTCCATCTCAGATGGATTTAGATGAACTTGCTGTCAGCAATGACCTGAGTCTCTGTCACTGACTGTGCTGCTGTTGGGAGTAAAATATGACAGAATTTCAATCATCAGTCTGGAAGAGACAGATTGACCTTCCACATTTAGCAGGAGATCATTGTCTTCTCCGGTGTCTCCCACTACCCAGCAAATACCTGTCCACAGCAACCCCTGCACACTCCTCCTTTCTGTCATTGTGTCATTCCTGTTTGTGCAGCTGCCCAGAGAACAGGTCACACCACTGATGCAGCTTACAAATAACCATAGGGAAAGATACTGGTTTTAATCCAGATCAATTTTCTGATCTTGTTCCACGCACAACCATCAGTCAGCCCTGCCGGCATAATGGAAAGGGCAGTAGTTAGTTGTCAGGAGAAGACAGCTGTCCATGGCACTACTAATACCAGAAGGAATGCCTGTCAAATGTTGTCTAGCTGTTCTAACACAGCAGTAAAAAGAGTACCAAGCTAATAGGGCAGGGAGAAATAATGCTGCTGCAACAGAGCGTGTAGTGCCATAAATCCTTTCCTGTGTCTCCTAGGCAGATTCATTATTGCTGTTGTAGCAAACAGTGAAAGTGCTTCTTCTGACCCACTTTTTTATTCCTAGAAGCCTCATGCAAGCCTGTAGCTGGACATAACAAATCAGCTTGGTTGCAGCAACCCCACATACATATTAAGGGTAGAATACTTACTTGTAAAAATGCCTTGGGAACTTTTGCCAGATCTTCTACATATTCCTTACAGGTGTAACACAAAAAATTCTGCAACACAGCCAATTGGAAGTATCAGAAACAGATGTAATTGCATAGCAATGAAGCAGCAGATTACTGATTTGGGGCACACGACACTTTGGAGGTGAACAGGAACCAGGAATGAGAAAGATTCCAGTTCTTTGAAGTCACCACATTTGGATTAGGATACTGGTTTAATCCAAGCACGAACAAGGACGCTGGGCCCGCGGCCTTGCTAATATTTTTATCTCTAGATATCGCAGCAATGCGATAGCTGGCTCAACAGCTGGGAAATCAGGGGAACGCGATACTTGTTTCCCTAAAAGCGCGGCTGAAGAAGTGTTTCCTTTCTGGTAAACAGTGTTATCACTTTACCACCAAGGCGCGGATGGACCGCGGGAGCAGCGCTGACCCGCTCGGTGCGTTCCCCCCGCTCCCCTCCAGCCCTCCCCTCCAGCCCGGACCCCGCTCACCCGCACGAACACCACGATCGCCTTCCGATCCCCGTACAGGGCCTGGAAGGGGACGCTCCGGCCGTCCCGGTCCAGCACCGGGCAGCGGGCAGCCTCCTCCCGCAGCTCCGCCGGCTCCCCCCGCCCGCAGCCCCGCGCCCGCCCGACCTGCTGCGTGACCGGCAGCGCCCGCGGCCCCGCCATGGCACCGGCGGGGAGGAGAGGGGAGGGAAGGGAAGGGAAGGCGGAGCTGGCGCGGAAAGCCGCGGGAGGGAGGGGGTGCGAGACGGAGAGGAAGCGACGGGGCCGGGAGGGAGCGCGGAGGCTCGTCCCTGTCCCTGTCCCCGTCCCTGTCCCCGTCCTCGTCCTCGTCCCCGTCCCCGTCCCTGGGAGCGGCTCCGGGCGAGGAGAGAAGAGGGAGTTGGGACGGAAAGAGCGAGAAACCTGCGGCCGAAACCGCTGCGCGCCTCTCTGCCGCTGCCAGCATGCGGCTTGTGCCCGGAAAACACGGGAAAGTCACACGCGACTCGCCCGGAATGGTGCGCGGGCAGCAGCGGGGACGTGGCCGTGCCGCCTCGAATCAGGGCTCACACTGCAGAAGGCTGTACCCGAGAGAGAAAACTTTTCGAGGAGCTCTCAGCTGCTGTATCGCACAAAACACACACCAGACCCGGTTTCCTTATTCAAGCAAAAGTAGAATTTCCCGGTGCTTTGGCAGTTGAGCAGCAGAGGACGCTGAGCGGTGCAAATGCCCGTGTGAGTGCATCATGTTCTCCCTAAAATAAGAACAGTAGGTCGTTTAAGGGTATCGTGGTCCCTTGGATTATTGTGTTAGCTGAAAGTTTATAAGGACAAGAGCGCTTTTCTTAGGGGGCAGAGAAAAAGACTCGTCAGAGAGAGCAGGACTGAGGGGACCTCCAGAAGTTATTCTGCTTTGTGAAACTCTCCGACTATGTTAGCTCCAAAGTTTCTTGGCAAACTGTCCCAGCGTCTGTATGTTAATGTTATTCAAATTTATATCCCCTATGCTGTGCGTTAAGCCCACTGCTTTTATATTACCAGGAGAAAGCAGGTTGAGTCTTGCAGTTCAGTACGTCCTCACAAAGACTTTGATTTAAAAGGTGTTGAATTCAAATTAGTAAAAATTAGTAAAGAAGTTCTGAAAATTGTAAAACTCAACATTCTGCTAGACACAGTTGGACCCAACGATTTTAAAGGTCTTTTCCAACCTGGGTGATTCTCTGATTCTGAAACAATTTGGGCAGTATTACTTCCCCATTATTGTTTTCATCAGGCTTCTTTGTTCACTTAACAGTTATGTATTATACTGTCCAACACATTTCTTCTACAAGCAGTCCGTAAAGAAAACTGTGGGTTGTGCAGCAGCATTCTGCAGGCCCCTCAGCAGTACTGATGGGAATGTGCTGCCTACCCTTGACTACTGCAGGACACAGCAAAGCAGAGAGAGCTGCCGAATTTTGACAGGCTTTGCTCTTCATCTTCAAGCTGAAGTGGCCAGGCCATGACCTCACTGTGTTACAGCTACAGTAAAACCTTTGAGTAACATTAGGCAGGGTTCAGGGGCACAGCTCAGCACTTGATCATCAGCAGAGCTTGGACCAGGGCCCTTGCCATTGCAGCTGGAAATCAGAGCCTGCAGGGGAGGCAGGCACACCACTGTAGGGGATCTGCTGCCACAGCCTCCAAGAGGGAGCACAGATGGGAACAAGACTGCTGATGGAAAGGACTGGGCAGTGTGGGGTCACAAACTCAGCTGACACTGCCCTGGGTCAGTCTGCACGTAGCTGACCTTGTGCCTAGTATGTAAAAAGCTTGTTCTTTCTTAATTTGATCTGAAATCTCTTGAGGAGCCCAGCCTCTCTGGGAGAGCTGGTAATCCTTCCTTCTAAGCCAGTCGAGACTGCCTGCAGACCTTGCTTTATTTATTCTGTTCAGCCTCCCTAAACTGGCTGAAGCAGCATATCCTTAACACCTTGTTTCAGCAGTATACGACTGAGGAACAGCAACTTTCTGCTTGGGATATCTGCCAAAGCATTCTCTAAAACCCTCAAACAGCATGTTTCTGGCTTTTGATGGCGATTCTTAAGTGTTGCTGGAATACAAGTGCTGCTGCCACCCCTGGTTTTACAGAGAAAGAATAGAGGCAAAGGCAGTTGTACACTGACGTGTTCTCTGAAAGGAGACACTCAAAATTAGCAGTCACCCTTTGAAAGCTGAAGCTTAAAGCCTTTCATTAATATATACTTAACAAAAATATAGATACAAATTCCACTAACTTAGTGGGAAGAAAGAATCCATATCTGTTGATATACTAAGAGTGAAGGCTACTAAAACCACATAATTCTTCAGTGTGTGCTGTGAACAGGCAAGCTTCCTCATCTTTCTCCTTTTTTTTTTTGTCGCTCACAAATATAAAAATGTGGTTAACCTAAAAAACACACTTGTCAGCGTGATGTATTTTTCATTATCTTAAGGAGAATCAATTAGTGCATTTGCATTATTAATCATGATTCAGGATGGAAGGCACTCTCTTCACTGCAGTGCAATTTACAGTTGAAGAGAGAAACTTAGTTAATATTTAATTAATCAAGAGTTGGGTTACTTTGTGCTGTGAGTAAGAAATTCAAATTCCTACCATTTCAAGAGGGAAAGCAATAATTACGTGAGGATGTCTGTTAATTTATTTGTTCTGTATTGACTAGTGAAACAAAATACCAGCTGTAATTATGCAACCTTAATTCGTTTATTTACAGCAGGTGAACAAAGTATCTGACAACAGAGGTATGACCTGTGTCAAAACCATAAATGCTGTCTAAAGTATGTGGTGTTTATTTGTAAAGCAACACGTTATTATCAATTTACTGCACAATATACTGTTTATTTAGCACAAGGGTATTTGTTGTTCTTGTTTATTTAAGTATTGTTTTGCTAGAGATAACGTGGTTATTACTTATAGCTGAAAATAAATTAGTGTTTGCAATTCCAGGGTAAAAACATCCTGCTAAGTGCTAGCTAATAATGAGTAGTTTTCAAACTTAAAAAAATCTCAAACCTTAATTAAGAAGGAGTAAAAATGTGTACTGTCCTGTAGATAAGATGGATTGTTCTCTGTGAGGGCAGTGAGAGAACTTGCGGACTCCCTGTCCCTGACAGTGTCCAAGGCCAGGTTGGATGGGGCTCTGAGCAACCTGGGCTAGTGAAAGGCATCTCTGCCCATGGCAGGAGGTTTGGGACAAGATGATCTTTAAGGTCCCTTCAACACAAACCATTCCATGATTCCGTAAGAGCTTTTTTCCTTTATGTCTCCCTTTCATTTTTTCCTGAGAGTCACAATATCCTGGATTTCTTATGCTGTGCTTCGTCATAGCAACATGAGAGTGATTCTTCTGACCACCAAGGGAAATAATTTATAACCTCGAAAGCGATTTTGCAAATGCTGGGTTCATCTCCATTTTTGCTATCTGGTGTGTGTTCTCTGTCTCCTGATGTTGTTTCTCTTCACTTTTGCTTCCTATTTTTTTTTTTTTTGTATGTGTGTGTTTTTAGTTTGGTTTGAGATTTTGGGTTTTTTTCATTGTTGTTTTGTGGGTTTTGTTTGGTTGGTTTGCTTTATTGGTGGTTTTGTGGGTTTTGTTTGTTCATTTGTTTTTCCCTGAGGGAGGAGATATTACCATTTCAAAACTTGCCTAACTTTTGCTTTTTCACTCCCTTTAAAAATTATTTGAGATTATTTACCAGACTGAGATCTTCATAAGTCTGGCTGCAGTATCTGAGTATCAGTATGTGTTGCATATTGTTTAACTTTTGTTTCACAGCACAGATAATGGAAATGTAATTAAAAATCTACCCTAATAGTTTAGTGATTATAATGACATATGGAGAAAAAATATTTCTCCCATTCTGTTTGACATATTTTAGTTTTGTAATGCCAACCCTACACAGAGAGCAGTTGTTACAAACTTACTCCACAACAAAATAACAATGTTAATTGAAATGCCCACATTTTAGTGGGCATAAAGAGAACCAATTTAGTAAGAACTCTCTGTATTTAATCTATTTCTGTTTTGAAGGTACCTACTCTGTGTGCTTCAAATGAAAAACAGAGGTGACCATCTCCATGTCCACGATAGTAAATTATATGTGGAGATGCTGCTTATTTGCTTTGAGTGCCACTAGTTTGAATCTTTCTTAAAAAGAACTAGGAGGAAGCAAATTACTACTTAAATAGATGAGACACGGTCAAAAAGCAAATCAAAGATATGCTGCAATCCAGACAGACCAAACAGAATTGTCTTGTATCTTGTTAGCGATAAGGCTCTTAGAAAGTATAGCTAATTATCATTAGTGTAAACCAGATCAGAGGATTAAGAAATGAAGAATGTGAAGAAAAGCAGAGGTGATCTCATGAGTGGTTTATGCCAAATTAAACCTCATTATTTAAGATTCTTGCCCTGGTGTCTTGCAAGGTAAACAAAAAAACTTTCTTGAAATCTTTAGATAGTATTCCTTTTTTTACTTCCTTCCTCTTCTCTCCCTTCAGTATTCTGCTGGGTTTTGCCTGTGCAGGAAAAACATACTGTGAGAAAGTGTAGTAGAATAGAGTAGTCAGTAAGTAGAGTAAAGTAGAGTAGTTCCCAGCTACTATTTCTATTTTCTGTGTTCATAAAGAGCTGGATGTGTACTTTGCAATGGATTCAGTTCAAATGGCTCTTTTATGTATGGCAGCACTGACATTTAACTACAATTAAGGATTCCCTTCTTGAAACCTGTGGATGGTATAATATTTTTGCTGGAGACTAATAGCTTTGAGTTGATTTTAGCACACATTTGAAACAGATTTCTTTTATTTCCTGGTGTATAATTAAGAGTAGCATCAGTAATATCAGGCATCTCTTGAGCCTCTTTGCTAGAGGGATCCATTAGGAACCCAGGCCTTTCCTCAAAAAGAGGTATATTTGATTTTTTCACCAGCTTGCCTGACCACTTGTGTCCTGAGGACTACAAATCCATGGTCCATGTCCACCCTTCTGTCTTTCAAAATGGCTGAGAAGTTGAGGTGGTGAATATTCTTCCTGTCACAATAAGTGTTGCCTAATTATCTCCTAATATTGTGTGGCTGACCGAGATGGTGCATGTGCCAAACTCTGATGAAGCAAGCCACGGTTTTCACTTAGTGAAGACTTCCTTAAGCAATTATTTAAATAAGAAAAAGGAGTCTAAAGATAAAGTGTCTGATGGCCACCATGTGAGCTCTCTGCCAGGAACTTCAGAGATTACAGCTTTCCAGCTGGCTCTCCTATGAGGGCCTTTAAAACCCTCTCCAGTGGAAATAATGTGTTTGGTTTGTTAACAATGAAAACTTCTACTACAGCCAGTGGAATTCATGCCAGAGCTGAGGTGGAAGGCCCAGCCCTGAAAGCCTTTTGGATCTGGAGTTCATGTGGATGTTGGCACGAATCCTGCACTTGGTGCTCTGAGAGATGATCATTGGCTTAAGGCTCAAAAATATGGCCCCTTTTGTATCTTAAACAAGAAAGCCGTTTTTCCTTCTGCTGTTTGCATCATAGTTACGTTATTTGCTTCAACAAAGATGTCAATCCGCTTCAGAATATTTTTTCTTCTTAATGAAACTATTTATTCTTTCCTTATATTTCAATTGTTATTTTCAGTAATCTTTATACATATGATTCTATTTCAGTCATTTCTTTATGCACAAAACTATCAGCAAAAGTGAAGAACAGAATAAAAGGGGGAATATAAATACATTAAATATACTTTAGTTATAGTCAACCAATAAATTAAAATATATTAATATATCATCTAAAACACAAGTTCTTTAACTGACACGTCTGTAAATGTAAGAGGAGTGTTATCTTTATTTGCAAATTTATGCACTATTATTTCTTTACACCATCATCTTTCACGTTGTAAGTGAGGATGTGCAATGTCCTTCTGTCCACAGCAGCAGATTTCACACATAAAAGCTGAAGGATAAAATATACACAAAATAAATTTTTAAAAAAAGAAAATAATGGAAAAGGAATGAAAAGTGACTGATTACATTCCCTCAAATTCCATTTCTTTATTTTTTTTCATTTTCCTCATTGCTCCTCTATAAAATGTTTGTAACAATTTTAACTTAGTTTCTTTGCTGTTGATTTTTATGCATCAACAGTTTTGTGGCCCCATTTCTGCACAGTCCATGAGTCAGATTTTTTTTTTCAAACTGAATTGACTTGTTCTCTTGCTCTCTCCAGGGAGTGATCAACAGCCACTGTTTAAAAATTCTCATTAGGCACTTCAGCATTCAAGCTGTGGCCCTGTTATGGTTTCCAAGGTCCTAACATAGAACCCCAGTGATTTCCATACCAGTCTGATCACACAAATGAGTTAGCTAAGTGCAGTAACAATTAATTTGTAAAACATATGTGTTTCTATGCTGCTGCTATCGTTAATTCTACAAAGGAAAATAATTTCAAGAAGCAATAGTTGTTGTTCAAAAATATCAGAAGAGAGAAGAAATCTGGCTGACAGTCCAAAAGGGATCAATACAGCAGCTTCTGGAACTGCCATGCCAGCAGGAATCACTTCTTACTAATGTAATTTGTGTGTCTCCTTCTGAGTAGTTATAGCTGTTGTTGCTCTTCTTGCATGAAAAGGACGTTAAGACAAAAAAAAAGTAATCAGAATGGAAGCATTTTTATTCCTTCCTACTGCTTAGAAGACTGCTAAATGCTAAGACAGGGGTTATGTTTGTGTGTATCTACTTATTTGAACAAATTCACATAATCATATTTTATTGTCTTAGTCTATAGACATATTGATTCTACTCTAAAAATGACTTTTTCATGAAGTATGGTCCACTTGGGGGTGTGTGTGTGTAATTATTCTTTTTCTTTATAATACATTTTTCACACAGGTAGAGGGGTGTGGAGCTGCTTTGAAATGCTTCTTCTGTGGCCTGTCCTCTGTGTCATTATGGCAGTGACTTTTACCTAAAAGCTTTAATAAGGTACTTTTGAAAATAATACATTTTAGTTATTTTTCCTTGTATATCTGTGTAGCTGTATTCTAAACAGATCATTGTAATTCAGCCTCTGTTTCTAACAATGTAATAAGGAGCTTGTTCACACTTGAAAGGTAATTCTGATTAAAGCAGATGTAAATTTAATTTCTGTAGCTATTGTTAAATAACTCCACTCATGGTTGTGCTTATTTGTGCTCTGCTTATCTCAAATAACTTTCAAATAATGAGACTTAATCAGAATAAGAGATGATTCTGCAGGAAAAGACGTACAAACATGAAGGTGTTCAAGATATCTATACCTCATATTGTGGACAAGCTGAGAAAAGTTTCGGTGGGACACTATTTTAGTTTTCTAGGGGAATTTCAGGTAACAAAAATATCTGAAGTCTGTTTTTATCTCTGATGTTGCTTAGATAAGCGACTTTCTATTTCATTTGAAGTTTAACTAAGGGTTCTGTTTTCTTTGATGAAAATTGATGGCAGTCTTGCAAAGTAAGTTGTTTACTGGATTCCAGTTCCAGAAAAAAACCATTAAGAACAGGGAGTCAACAGCTGGGTTGCTGTGCCAAGTGATGGATAGACCAGTCTTTGCACAGAGAGGGTTGATATAATCTGTCTGCAGTTTTTTCCACACAAATTTAAGTATTGTAATCCAAAGAAGAGGTCATGCCTTCCTCAGGCCCTAAAGACTTGAAGTCCTAGAAGGAGTTGTCCCACATAAAGTGGAAGAGCTATCTGTTGTGGGTATAAAAATTCCATTTTCTGGGATGTTCTATCCCTTTCTTTGGGCATTCTTCTGCATTTTTGAAGCATTTGTGGGATCTGAATGGTGCTCTCCTTCTAAGCAAGCATGTCACAAGTGCACTGAGAGGCTTGTAAAAGATGGAGGGACTGGGAAAATATTATGAGTGCAGAAGCCTCTGTTATTAGTTCTCTTGACTATTTCAGTGATGTGTCAACCTGAAATCATAAGCTTTCACTACAAAGTTACTAGTTCTGCTTCTAACAGACAGAAACTGGAAAATAATGATCATGTTTGTAAAAAATTCCAATTCAGCTTAAAAAGAGCTCTACATGTGACAACTTCTGAAAGATCCTGTGTCTTAAACTACCTTTACTTAAAACTGGCAACACTGAAGTTACCACTGGCCACATCTTTTTAATATTTTCTGTAAATGCTGCTGTGTCTAGCCTGTCCCACTTCAAAGTAGCAGTGCATGACTTGTACTTCTAGGGGGGAATGTGGTTGGAGCACTTTTCCCAAGCCTGAGTGAAATAAAAGCTCATTTCCCATTGAAGCTGTGGCATGACCTTGCCGAGCACCTCTTGATAAGTGGGCTTCTAAAAGTGTCTGCAGGTGCTACACAGCAGTTCCAGATGAGAGGCAGGGGAGTGTAGACTATTTTGAACAAAAATGCATTGGAAAATTTAGGTTGGCAAAATGTGGTAGTTTGTTGGTATTTTTTTGCAGCTGCGAAAATGTGATTTAGTCAGAACTCCAGGGGTAACCTTGTTCACGGTGCAGTGAAGATCTCTGAGGACAATAAATACTTCAAATATAGGTCTAATACGGTCTCTTAAAGACAATGCAGCCAATAATTCAACCTGACACCATGCTGGCATATTATTTAATACCATCTTAGGGGTAGGAATACTACTTATGAAGTAGTAACTAGTGTTAATGCCTGCTATCTATCTAGAAACAAGTGCTATTCGACAGTTACTTGTTACCTTAAAGAGAAGAAATCATACAGCATGTATTTTGTATGACTTACACTTCATAAACTTACAGATTCAATAGTTTTTCAGGAGAAAGACTATTATATATATGTATACATATATATATTATATATATATATAATGTATATATTATATACATCAGGAGACTGATGTATATAATAGCACTTAGAGGAAACAAATATTTGTGAAACTCTTAATTCCAGGACTGAAACTAAACCATCATCTTTGAGAGTGCAGAAAGAGCTGGTGTGGGGTTCACCTTTCATGTACCTCTCACGTGCTCTCTTGTAAGAGCATCCTGAGCTGGTGGGACTGCATTCAGGGACCAGCTGTGAGCAAAGCAGCCACAATTTGAGGGACTAGGGTACACCTAGTGGGGTTTTTTTTCTGCCAGTCTTTTCTTTCTGTTTTCCTTTCCTCCCGTGCTGTTTATGTACAAGTAACAGTCCCTCTGGGGAAGTTCTTGCCCTGGCACATATTCTCTCTCAGTCATAGTCCCTTTGGAAATATCCTTGTGCTGCTGATGATCATCTGTGGCCTGTGGCTCTCCAGGGGTGTCCCTACCCTAGTGTGTGCCACTGGTGAGTCACAGTTCCTTCAGGGCATCCTGGCTGTGGGCTGCACTCCCTCTGGCACAGAGCATCCATGAGCAGCACATGTCCCTCTGTGCCCCACAGTGTCCCTGTCCACGTGTCTCTGTCCTCCTCTCTCAGCAGCTGCCACTCTTTTTCAGACATGGTTGAGCAGAGGCACCACGTGGTTGCTGGAGGTTTTGGTGTGTGACATTGTCCTAGTTAGAACAGCTGGGACCAGTTCATCACTGGATGGGTGTAACCCAAAGCTGTGTATTCCATAGCCTTCCATGCCATTGCCCAGAAACTGTTATCAATGGACCATTTACACCCTCTGCCCATAGAGCCTGACTCCTCAGGCTATAAACTGGGTGTTAAGAGGCCCATGAGACAGGAGGGTGCTCCTGTCCTCACACCCACTGTGGAACTCCCCGCCCTGAGGGAGGTGCTGGGCATTCCTGCCTGAACTGGAGGATATATAATCTTGGAGTTTTGGGACTTTTTGAACCACTTGTGGAATCCAGAGAAGGACTGTGACCACCACTCTCAACCAGACTGAGACCACCACTCTTGACCAGACTGCACCACCTCTCTCGCCAACAGGTTTTCCCCTCTCCTTTTCCTTTGGACTCAGGGGGCCCAACGAACACCACTCTGTTCATGCCCCAGGGTGCTGGGTTATACATTTGGGTTTTGTGGGTTAAAACCAATTGTTTGTCTGTATAATCATACTTATTGTATTATTTTATTAAATTGTTATTCTCTTGACTTGGGTTCATTTCCCCTGCTGGTTTACCTCTAAACCAGCACACACATGGGATGCACACTGGCCGCAGAGCCAGCTGAGGTGGCTGTAGCTGCTCATGGATTCCTCCCCTCAGGGCACCCCTGCAGCCCCTGGCTACCCAAAACCCCACATTTGTGGCCCAAACCAGCTGTGTGCAGTCTCTTGGCAGAGCATGCTGTGCCCTTGCAAGACAAGCTTCTATTGAGTGGGCTCCCAAGACATCCCAGGGTAGTTCAGGGTCTGCCTAAATAGCAAAATCTGTTTGGCTGCCTTTTGGTTTGCTTATTCTTGATAACTATTAAATGCTTAACACTGAAATGGAAATCAATTGCACTACTTGTTTGTTAGTAGAAATGTCTCTTTGAAAATGGCTCCTCCTTAAGGGTGTTAGAGTGTCCACTGGACATAACAGTTGAAAACAGAGGAGAAAAAAATTAAGATAAATGGAATTGGAAGCGAGACTATTCAGAAATTATATGTGATAATGATTTGTTCATGACACTGACTTTATTTGAAGAAAAGAAGTGCCTTCAATTATCAAAGATGAGTCTTGCAAAGCTCTGAGTTAATATGAAGACTGAGGAACTGTTTTTTTCATGTCTGTCTTACTAGATAAGAACTGTTTTTCTTTATCACAAGAAACTACTGACAATAAACCTTCCCTATGATCACCTGAGCAAAGCTGCTGTAATGATTTATATCTGAAGCTGGTGGTAGGCACCAGCTTTATCTGGTGTAAATGTTGTAGTTTATTTTCTTTTTATAAACAGATACACTACCATAAGGTTGCTATAGTTTCCATGATCCTCCACAGTTTCTTATTTGACTTCTAGTATCCATTCAAGAGCCCTTAATCCTTTTTTTTTTTTTTTTTCCATTTAGAGCTTGATGAGAAAGCTATGCTCTGAAGAGCCACATGGTTAAACAGCTCTGGACAGATGAGGAAGGTTCTTGAAGGAGGTTTATACTGCAATTTGCAGTGCTTGCATGCTAGGAATTATTTTTTTTTGTGTGTGTGTATTACTGCTGGCAGAATTATATTAATAGAAAGTCCAGGAATGAAAGAAATCAGCAAGAAAATGAGAATTTGCACATACTTGGCTTAAGTGTCCACCAGAGATATAAAGAGATCAGGGTCCACTGTGAAGTGTTCATTGAATGACTTAAAGATTTGAAAATGTGTAGGAACTGTGGTGATGGCTTCCTTACGTGAAGCAGAAATAAACATAATTGTGCTCATATTAATTATTAATTAGACATAAAAAATTAAAAGGAAAGTGGAAATTATTTTTCCTGAATGCTGATCATGCGGATTTTTTTTACAATCTGAAGTCATCTGGGTCTCGGAAATCCTTAAATTTGAGAAAAAATTGATCACAACAAAATGATGATCACACTGGCATTTGCTTTGCTGTTCTTCTTGGCTGTTATGTTTTGTTTTCTGGCTTGTTTCTGTAGGGGAGAGGGACAAGTCTGTTCCATGTCAGGCTTAGTTTTAGCTTGTGTTGGGGCTCTTTTATTTTCTGTTTGTGAATTCCTTTTTAAAATATGTTGTGCTTAAAATATATTGGTGTTCTGTTCCACAGAATGTGCCTGTGGTTACTCTTAGATGGGATATTTTAAAATACTTAATCTGACTTCTGAATTGAACACTGTTTTGGGTATGGATGAAAGAAATTCTGCTTGAAAGGTAAAGGGCTGGAGCGAAATAAAAATGAAGTTGAGATGACATTAGGTGGCATTCTTATGAAAGACCACCTTAGGGCCTTTAACCCAGGCAGAGGTGGGCACATATTGTTTTGCTAAAATGCAATTCTGATGTAAAATAAAGGCCTGCTGGAATGTATTTGGCAGGACTTGTGTGCAAGCAACATGAGCTTTTCTTGACTTTCTGTGCTCAGAATTTGTTCCCAGAATTGCAGCTTGAAAAAATGAATCTTTAAAATAAGCTTTCTGCTTTTAAAATTGTTTATACAGGGCGATAAAGTAGTAGGTTATGCATTTGATAAAAAAGTTAACAAACTCCCTATTGTTTTAACTAGGGCAAAGGATGCTATAAACTGAGTAAACATCAAGGACAGCTAGATAGCAACCTGCTTTTTTTTAAAGGGTTTAAAAGAATTGGCTCTCCCTCCCTCCCCCCCTCCCTTACTGCATATTCATTCAGCAAGATTCAGCCCCTCTCCAGCCCTTCCACTTTCTGAGCATCTTGCAAAGGCATAGCAGCAACAATTTTGCTACCTCTGTCCTGGGAAAAGCACAGTTCACCTGCCACTGAGCTGTTTAGAGCATGGAAGGGGGAAGAAGAAAGTAAGGAATGGGTCTGATCAACCAAGAGAGAATGTGATGTAGAAATTTGTACACATTTCTAGCCAAGGACTTGCTCTGTAGAAACACAGTGTGCTGTATTTAATGTATCTCAGATTAAAGCACAGAGTCATATGTAATAACAGGGTGTCAGGATATTTTAGAGTATCCAAAATTTAGGTCTACCCTCAAGTTTAGCACTTTGCATTTTTCTTGGAAAGTATTGCAGCTTCTTGGAACTCCTTGCTGCTTCTTCAGACAGAGCAGAAGTTACTTTGAAACCAAGTAGGTTCTTCTGGATACTCAGTTGTTGTCAGGTGCTCATGTTTTTGTACCAGTGTATGTGTCAGAGAATTCACAGTTCATTTCAGTTCTGTGCAAGTTCCCTCTGCAACAACAACAAAAAAATTTAGGTTATGACTGCCTCTTCAAGGCAGCATTCCTCAGGAGATATATTTATCCAATAATGGAGTTAATTTTAGACTGGGATTTACTGAAGTGGTGATTTGGGGAATACCCCCTCTGAGAGAAGAGAGGCACAAAACCAGAATGGAGTAGATCCTATTAACTGTGGTTTGCCACAGCCTGAGACAAGTATTATCTGAATGCTGGTTCTTTCAAACCACAAGAAACCCTGCCAGAGAAAAAAAAAAGAAAACCCTCCAAAAAGCCTCACAAAAAAACCAATTAAAAAAGACACTCGCCCATTTTTGAGTTAATAAGTGGAAGCTGTAGTGAACTGCGGAAAATGAAGTCCTCAGACTCTACTGCTGATTGATGTATTAGCTGTGGTATTTTTCAGAATATAGAAGGAAAAAGTGAGATATGCTAATGTGGATTGTATGTCTTTGTGTATACAATCTTTCTAGTTACATAAATAACTGGCTGTCACATCACTTGCTTGCTGTTGCCTGGCTAAGGCTTCCTAATACTTTGGTGCTGTAGTTCTTTGAAATCTGATGCAAATATATTTAGAACGCAGGTATGAGTTTACAAAGCATTGTGGCTTACAGGGAATTTCCATATAACACACTTTTAATGAAACTTCCTATCCATTTTCTTTACGATTCAGTCCATCTCCCCAGCCTTTGACATAGCTCTAGTACATGGCAGCTTTTCCTTTTCCCTGAATCAAAATTAGGCTGCGGGTATATTAACTATTTTGATGAGAAAACCTCATTTTCTGTCCTCCAAGGCTGTCACAAACAGCCAATTTTTTTACAAAAAAATCTGCTTGAAATAAAGAGGAAAGAAAAGGAATATATATAAAGGTACATTACAATTTGCACTTATAATACACTGCATCCCTGTCACTGCCCTAGCTCTTTACACATCCACTCTGAATTAGTTTAAATAGTCATTAGCATTCCACATAGTGCAGTGTATAATAGGGATTCAGTGCTGATTCTGGGCGAGTGAACTTCAGGAGGTTGTTTAATATTCACTGTACACACTTTGTAAAAAAGGCAGAGCAGGTTTTTTCAAACTTCACTGCACATCTGGGCATTGTTGCATGTGTATTGTGAGCCCTGGTGGCCACTGAGCAAGCTGGGCTGAATCTGCCCTCGGTTACACTGTTCAAAACCTGGGTAAATTGCATTCTTTTAAAAACAGAGGTACTCTCTTTACACCACTGTTGTGGAAGGCAGATGAGGGGCCCACTGTTTTTGGCCTCTGTGGTCGGTTGATGGTCTGTGCCTGATGATATTACAGGCTCACAGTCTCAATTCAATTTGCTGTTTTTAAACAGACACACCTGAGACTGTCTTTGGGAGGAAATAAAAGAATAAAGGAAGTGAATGCCAGCCTGCTCTGCTTTCAAACAGGATCTTTCTGCAGAGCCTCCTGGTCCCTATCTTCTATGTGCACCTATTCCCTTCAAGAGCTTCTCTTACTCTCTGTGTCCAAGCCTTAGATCCTCTTGGATTCTCTTGGCTGTGGTGATGAGTGTCTGGGTAAAGATTTTGCATGGTTTTGTATCGATGTACTTCATCTTAGAAATTGCAAAATCATGTCTCACTGTGCATGTTCTGCTGTGCTTCTTGGTGAGTGCTAAAACCAAACCCAGCTCTCAGGTGGCAGAACACATCACTGCAGACAGGCATGTGACAGGCAGCCTGATACACTGATTTTGGCTTTTATTTATCCCAATTTACGTGGTTCTGGTTGCTCTTTTCTAATTTGCTTAGTTTATGTCACACAGCATCGATATGATTGTTCCTGCAGATGTGGAAGTCTCGGGGTTAACTTTATGTTGAACTGTATTCAAAGGGAACTGAGATGCACAAGAATGTTACTGGGACAAATGATTTTTGTTTGTTCCCATATGTTGGACATACAGGAACATTTCTGAACTGACTTTATATATGGAGAAAACTTCTCTGCCAGCTGTCACCAGTAACTAGTTCACTGTGTAAGTATAATGTATGGTGTTTGCAAGAGGTGCTTTGGGAATATGACAAAGATTTTTTTATTTTTAAATACAACTTTTGCAATTAGGGGAATATATTGAATCATCTTTATACAGTGATCAGAAAAAAACCCCAAGATATTTTTCTAACCTCTACCACCACAGTTTATAAGAACTGACATTTATAACACTTCATTCTGAATCACTGACATTATGTGACAGTGTATTTATTCTTTCAGTGATGCTGGTAACAAAATCGCTCAGTTCATGGTATAGGTTGTTGATTGTTTGTTTTCCCCTCTCTGCTAACTCAACCTGTGACTGGAATTCTGAACATTTTTTTCCTAATTTCACTGGGCTCATCCTTCTTGGTAGCAATGATTATCTTTAAGAAGGTACACGAGGAAAAAAAATTATATGACTCCCTCCTTGGGGCAAAGGTTAAGGAAAAAACACTGTAATAAAAAGTTGAATGAAAGTCATTAAATTGATAAAAGTATGAGATGCAAGATGTAGTTGCTCTGTATGGAATTGCAATCAGTAGGTGTAGTTTTGTCTAGAAGTTTGATGAAATTTAAATATATTTGATGTATCAAGTACATGTAACTTACTAGCATGTACTTCTGGCATCTCTGTTTATGATTCTGATTCTTCTTGAGTAGTAACATTGCTGGAAAGGGTACTGGACTTTGTTGCTTCATAGCAAAACTCTTTAGCCTTTAACACTAGTTGACTCAGGAGAAAAAAAAATACTGAGTTTGCAGCTTGGACGTTGTTTAATACCCATATCAGGTGGACAAAAATTCCTTCATCTTCAATCAATTAAAGAAACTAAAGTTGAAGTGCACTGGCTGGAAATTTCTCTGAATGATGAGAATAAACAGGGACCAAGCAAAGAAAAGACCACAAAAGGAGTGAAAACCAGAAGGGCCAGATTTTTTATTTCCTCAGTATTATGGTGATATGACTCATCCTTCTGTGGCTTGCTTTATTTGGTATTCATTAATCACTCCACAAAGAACTCTGTGACTCATCTGAGCTTGTTGATAAATATCTCAGTTTCTGAAAGAAATTTCACGTTTGGAAGCTCGCCAAGCTGACAAAACTGCACAATGTCTGTGTGTAAAAAATTGCCAATTCTTAAGCAGGAGAGCTTCAGACTTTTCCCCATTGGCCCACTTTTCTTCAAATCTACCCTAAAAAATACACGATAAATGTTCAGTCACCTTGCCTGTCCAGCGTGGTCTTAAATGTGAAATAGAGCACTTTAGCAGTTATGTACTTCTCGTAAAATGGAACAGACAAGTGTATTTATTTGCTTTACTTCTGATTTGAAGCAGCGCTTTAAGGGTGAAAGGTTTTTTTGTCTTTGCTACTAAGATATCCCAAAGGAGATTCGGCAGCCCTGGACTGTAAAATTATATCTGTCAGCAGCACAGCCTGTGTGTGAGGCTCTCTGCTGCTTGTGGGACTTAGAAAAGTTTTTTTA